TTGGAGGGAGTTGTATTCTTCAGGCAACACTTTGCTCAACAACCCAAAAAGGTAGTCAAGCTCTATGGTAAAGACAGCAGCAGCAGAGTTTTATAATTTATCTAGCTCACACAAGGCCCAAACATCATTTTTTAAGGCCCAGAGCAAACTTGTAACATGGCTCACCACATCTTATTTCACACTGACTCATGAGTCATGAGAAAAAAGTTCCTCTCTTATTTTGTTGCTGTTGCTCATCTTTTCTTCTACGAAATTTTGATACCCTTGACACACCATTACAGCATTGTAGAATGAAACATCGAATTGTAATGATACAAGCTGAAAAACACACAACTACAGTGGTACCTTGGTTTACAAACTTAATCTGTTCCGGAAGTCCGTTCTTAAACCAAAGCTGTTCTTAAACCGAGGTGCGCTTTCCCTAATGAGGCCTCCCACCACCGGTGCCCTTCCACCATTTGGCTTCCGTTCATAGACCAAGGTAAAGTTTGCAAACCAGAACATTACTTCCGGTTTTGCAGAGTTCGTATACCAAATAGTTCGTAAACAGGGCTGCTCTTAAACCGAGGTACCACTGTAATAGCAAAGGAAAACATGCCAACTTAGGTGAGGGTATTACTTATAATAATTAATAATGTGTTGTTTGCCTTTTCCGGTAAAAGAAATAAGCCATCATTAGTGCTTCCCAGATTATAGTAATATAGAATAGCATGGTAATATGTCATTTGATTACATGTGCATGGTTGTTTTCGGGGTAGAAGAAGGAATGCCCTTTTGCATCCCTTGCCCTAAATCTCCTAGTTCCATCACCACAATTATCTGTCGCAAATCTGAAGAGATGGAGCCCTTTACAATGATTAAAGGCAAAGGGACCCCTGTCCATTAGGTCCAGTCACGAACAATTTTGGGGTTGTGGTGCTCATCTCACTTTACTGGCCGAGGGAGCCGGCGTACAGCTTCCGGGTCATGTGGCCAGCATGACTAAGCCGCTTCTGGCGAACCAGAGCAGCGCACAAAAACGCCATTTACCCTCCCGCCGGTGCGGTACCTATTTATCTGCTTGCACTTTGACGTGCTTTCGAACTGCTAGGTTGGCAGGAGCAGGGACAGAGCAATGGGAGCTCACCCCGTCGCGGGGATTAGAACCGCCGACCTTCTGATTGGCAAGTCCTAGGCTCTGTGGTTTAACCCACAGTGCCACCCACATCCCTTTAATCACAATGATTAAAGTTGCACAAACCCACTGTGCACGGGAGAAAGTGTGTGTGTTTTTTTGGGGGGGGTGTAATTCTGCTACTCATCTCTCGCTTCTTTGTCAAACAGCCAACTGGCGGGATTTTCAGCTGGACCCACCCCTACCCCATTGACTCCCAGGTCCCAGTCCCAAACCCTGCCCCTTATGCAACACTGACAATTCTAAAGGGCCATCGTGTGGGAGGGCCCATTGTCCAGCCTTTATCGAAATCCTTTGCTCTGGCTGTAGCAGACAAGGCTCCCCAAACCTGCCACTGAAAAACAACTGCTGCCTTGTCCCTCAGTTCAGCGCTTTGCAGCTGCCACCAGATCCAAGCTGTATATCCAAAGTTGTATGCGACTTCTCAGCTGACTTCTTCCAGAGCTAGCTTTGTTTTGTCTTCCTTGTCTCTTCCTCCTTCAGGTTTTTCCGCTCAGATCTGTTTTCTACAGTCTCTCAACCTCTCTTTTTTCAGCTATATTGGAATGGGCTTTGGCTTCTCCCAAAGCTGGCCTTCCCATCAGCTCAGGTGAAGTGCCAATCTATTGCCTGGGCTAGACGAAGGCAATGGACTATTACCTGTTTTCCATACATATATACACAGTCTTTGCAGGCCCCAATAGCTCATTTGCATGGACAAACCGAACTGTGTGAATCAGACAGCCCCATAATCACACAGCTTATGTGCTTTTGTGTATTTTATGCCCTTAAAAGCTGGATTTAGCACCATCTCATTAGCATGAAATGCGACTTATTAAAACAAACCATGCTAAATATAGGAGCAGAGACAGACTGGCATTGTTAAGAGGCAGGTGTGGGGTTGGCTTTTTAGACAGGTCAATCCATTTGCACATTGTTTTGCAAAAAGGGGATGTTGTGGTCAAAGATAGCTGTGAGGATCGAGGGTACTATTCCCTGAAACATTCCAGCTGCTTTAACCAGCTTCAGCTGGTAAGACCACTACAGTTTTCTCTTTACCAGGACAGCCAGACACTGTTGTCCATGCACTGGTAACCTCCAGATTGGACTGCCGCAGTGCGCTTTGTGTGGGGCTGTGGGGCTAGGGGTTGGCCCAGAAGCTGCAGCTAGTGCAAAATGCAACAAGGGCATTCATGAGGGCAAGATATCATCATGTTATGCCGGTGCTGAAAGACTTGTGCCAATTGGCCACTGGGCTAAGTTCAAGGTGCTGGTGTATAAAGTCCTCTACAGCTTGGAAGCAGGATACCCAAAAGATTATCACACTTCTTGCCTACCCAAACAATCACTGCACTTTGTCAATTCCATCTCCTCAGAAGGTCCATTGATGAGGTCCATTGAATTGATGTGGCAGCACCTAGCCTTTGGAATGCCCTTTGTTACGTATCAGACAAACACCTTCTATTTTCTCTATTCAAGCCTTTGAAGTGGAGACTCTTATCCCATCTTTAGTGTAATGGATTTGAAATTGTTTAACTTTTTATTGTTAATTGCATGGGGGTGTTTCATGGCAAATGACTAATAAATTAAGCAAGAAACAGAAAGCCAAACCCACAATCCTTTCCAATTCATAGAACCATAGAACTGTAGAGTTGGAAGAGACCCCAAGGGTCATATAGTCTAGGACCCCCCCCCCCCATGCAGGAATCTCTGCTAAAGCATCCATGCCAGATGAGATGACCACCCAACTCTGCTTCGAAACCTCCAAGTAAAGAGAGTCCACAACCTCTGGAGGGATTGTGTTCCACTGTCAAAGAAGCTTTTACCATCAGAAAGTTTTCCCTGATGTTGAGTCAGAATCTCTTTCCTTGAGGGTCCAGCCCTGTTTCTGTGCATTGGACTAGCCTGGCCCTAGCTAGCAGCACCAGTGGTCAGGGATGATGGGAGTTGTAGTCCAACAACATGTGGGGACCTAACGTGGAGAAAGGCTGCTCTAATACAATAAGCCCACAATTTATGCAGAGGTTATGTTCCAGGAAGTACAATGACTAGAGTTTATTGGAAAGAGGAATTGAATGTTAATCCATTCTGGAACTGGAACTTTGTGAGGGCAATAAGTGTCTCCAAATAACTCTCAACTTCCTTAGCAAACTACAGTTCCCAGGATCCTGTGGGGGAAGCCAGGATTGTTTAAACTGGTATGATATTGCTTTAAAATGTTGGCGCCACCGTCTGCCCAACCTGGTCTCCCTTCCTTTCACGCCACCAGTCCCGCTGGACAGCAGACACCTCAGCATCGGGGGCACTTTAGGGGTGCTTGGTGTAAGCACCACATCTTATGGTACTGAATTCCCAAAATTTATTGGGTGCAAGACACAGGGCATCTCTTCCCATCCTAATGAAAGAGGTAATTGTGCCCGTATAACATATTGCAATTTTCTTTAAAAAACACAACAACGACACATTATTATAATCCTGATACTGAGCTTTGAATCTACTTCTTTTGGTATTATCTTCACAGGTTTTGGACTTTATCTTTAGATCTGTATTAGCATCATGTTCCAAGAAATCTGCAATTCCAATGTATCACTAAGCTTTTTATAGCTCCACTGAGAAGTCTTAGCTCCTTTAATCTTCTCGTCTATCAGACCTTGCCAATGTTATATTATGTTATTGTACATGCAGCACTCCGAGAAGAGGAAATAAATATGTATGGGGGGGGCATGTTGTCAGATAACAATTTTCTGAACCTGCCCACCTGTGTGGAGACTGCCTCCGAGTTCTGATGCCAAACTTGAGATTCAGAGGAATATTTACATAATTAGAGTTGCAAACTTTATGGCACGTTCCTGTGGTTGTTTACTGGGAAGGGAGTCCCACTTATTTCAATGCAGCAAACCCTTTAGTTCTGGGGTTGCCAATGTAGGACCCGTCAGATGTGGTTGGATTGCAACTCCCATCATCCAGAACTACTGGCCTAAGATTTATTTAAATGAGTTAAAAACAGCAACTCTATAAATCCAGCATCCAAATAAAACAGATCAACTACAAGAAAATAAAAACGTATATGCCCTTTGGCGGGGAAAGATATCAGAGTCGGGGCCAAGGGATTCACTATATTTACAGTGGATAATTTCTCTTTCTTTTGTAGTCCCAAAATACCTCTATTGTTTCCATTTTGCAGGGGATGAATTGAGGCTGGAGGTCTAAACAACTTGCTCAAGGATGCACAGTGAGTCAGTGTCCAGTGTGGTATAGTAAATACAATGTTAAACTTTAAGCAGGAAACTCTGACTGCTTTTCTTTTTTAATTTACTGATTGACTGATTTTTGCTGATGCAAAATAGACAAATACACTTCTCCTCTATCTGGGGCAGCCAAACCATGCAAGATGGGTGTTGTTGGAAACAATGGGGCCATGATAACCCATCTGAACTGGGAATGGTAAATCCTTTTTGCAAAAGGCCACATGCACAGTGGCGAAGCTGCATGTTCTGCTACTGGGGGCGGAGAGCAGGAGGGGGCGTGGCTGGTGGCCCCTGAAGGCATGATGCACGCCCCAGGGGGCGTGATGCGCATCACAGGGGCGTGGTGAGCGTTCTGGGGGCGTGACGCGCTGCCTGTGGGGGCATGGTGCCCGGCACATGCACAACACCCATTGACTGCACACACAGTTTGTCACCCAGCTAGAGATACATATGCAGAAATCTGGCTCGTTGGTGTTTAGCCCCATAGACTTTCAGTGGAAGAGGTGTGCATAGGAACATAGGGAGCTACTTTAAATCAAGTCAGACCATTGGTCCATCTAGCTCAGAACTGGCAGGAGCTCTGCAGGATTTCAGGCAGGAGCCTCCTCCAGGAATTGAATTTGGGGCCTTCTGCACGCAAAGCAGATGCCTTACCACTGAGTTATGGCCCTTTGTTGTTGTTTAGTCGTTTAGTCATGTCCGCCTCTTCGTGACCCCCTGGACCAGAGCACGCCAGGCACTCCTGTCTTCCACTGCCTCCTGCAGTTTAGTCAAACTCATGCTGGTAGCTTCGAGAACACTGTCCCTCCATCTCGTCCTCTGTCTTCCCCTTCTCCTTGTGCCCTCCATCCTTCCCAGCATCAGGGTCTTTTCCAGGGAGTTTTCTCTTCTCATGAGGTGGCCAAAGTATTGGAGTCTCAGCTTCAGGATCTGTCCTTCCAGGGAGCACTCAGGGCTGATTTCCTTCAGAATGGATAGTTTGATCTTCTTGCAGTCCACGGGACTCTCAAGAGTCTCCTCCAGCACCAGAATTCAAAAGCATCTATTCTTCTGCGATCAGCCTTCTTGATGGTGTAGCAGGAGACCCCCCCCTTCATTTTCATCGTAATGCACAAGCACCACACACACACCTCCCACCTCCCGAGCCGGGAGATGCCCCTTCTAGAGGGGCATCACCCCCCCAACGAAAGCCTTCCGTAAATAAGGAAGCGCTAGCGCCGCGTAGAACTCTTTTATTTTCATGTATTTTCCTGCAACGCTCTACCTCGCCCTATCTTTATTATGGGTAGACCGGCCGCCTGAACTCCAGGTCAATCGGCTGCCGCTTCAGCCAATCAGCGTTACCAAACAGCGCCTCTTGTGGCGACCACGCAGGTACTGCAGGCAGCAGGCCCTCGCTTCTCTGTCTTTGACAGTCCTCAAATACAAAGTTTCCGAGTTCAATTGACCGTGACTGATTTAATCAAAATGTTGCAAACTGCTTCCTGAAAGGTGAAAGTGCTTTGGACTTCAACGACAGTATTCTTCATAAATTCACCATAAATCAGCCATATATCGGATTTTCACCGGACCACTTTTATTCTGCTTCACATTACAAGGACTATCAAAGGGGGGTGGCTTGATACCAGTCAGCCATAATCCCTTGACCAAACAGGCACGTACTCTGCAGCCCTTCCCAGTTGACATAGCAACCTTGATAGTCATCTTGATGGGCTCAGATGAAAGACTATCAAAGACACAATGAACTGCATACACTAGTGTATTCAACACGGACTATGACAAAGGGACCGTGACCGGATTCCCCTCAGGGGGCAGGCAACTGCGCCTTTCCCTTTGTTTTCCGAAAATGACTCATGGGGAGGAATGGAGGGGGGCTCCCGCCAGGTGTCAGGATACTCAGATTACCTGTGCAACCCCTCCCCTAACGCCTCCTGTTCTTAATGTAGTCATGATGTAAATATGATGTATTTCTAGGGGTGTAACTTGGGGGATTAGGAGCTAATAAAAGTTGGGGTCTTCTTTTGTTCGGGGCTTCCATCTTGCTTCACCTTGTGGGCGGTGGGAGTCCTGTCGCGACAGTCTTTCTTCAATAAAGACCAAGCCTACAGGCTGCTGATTTGCTTCTAGATTGCTCTGGTTGGTGTCTTGTTTGTCCAAGGGAGCCCTCGGATTTTTCCAGTAGCAATGGTCCAGCTCTCACTTCCATACATCACTACTGGGAAAACCATAGCTTTAACTATACGGACCTTTGTTGGCAAGGTGATGTCTCTGCTTTTTAAGATGCTGAGTTATGGCTCTATCTCATCTTATTTGGATCTTATTAATGTTTTCTCAGGCAGCCACAGAAGTAAGTTCCATCAAATTCCTTGGTACTTTCTTATTTAGTGGGCTCAGGATTAAGTATGTGCTCAATTCTCCTGAATAAATCTATGGGATTAAGAGCAGTTCACTTGCCTAGATAATGCCCATTGTATCTTCACTCTCATTTCACATGCAGCATGAACTCAAAATCTTGACTGTACCTCAGCAATGCAATTAGGCCACTTGGGTTAATTACTTTTTTAAAAAAGAGCTCAAAATCTATATGAGGCTCTTTAAAATTTCATCCCTGCAGTATTAGAAATGTAATTTTCTTTGACGTTGATTCTGATTCGGTACCTCCTACATCACCACGCTGCTTCTTTTCCAAATGTCTCCAGATGGTGCTCGAGCCTTTAGGGACCATGCTGTGAATTATTTTTAGAAGATTTCCCTTCACGTCTGCCCAAATTGGCATGTTGCAGCATCTTCCTATTTTTTACTATACACACACATATATTTTCTAAAATTAATATACATAAGCCACAGATTGTCCGAAAGCTAATGAAAAAGAAAACGAGATATGCTTAACTGATTGCAGTATTAGCCCTGTACACATTTGCTGGGGTGTAAGCTCCATTCATCTCAATGCAACTTGCTTCTAAGTCGGCGAGTGTAGCATTGCAGTGCAAGCCTCAAAAAACATGCAAGATGGGTTCAAGTGCATAAGAATGCCCTTTAATCTGCCCTGGAGCACAAGGCAAGGGCTCAGAATGGGATTGGGGGAGGTTCTTGGGGGCCCAGGTGAGCCATCACTGAGATGGGGCTCTTCAGGTTCCCTTGGGACCACTGTGGGTTCCTTTAGGCCTTCACCTGGAGCACAGTTCTCCCTGGCAGTCCAAGCGTCTTTCTCCAAAGACAAGTCTCCTGGGTTCAGGCTAGATGGGATCCTGACACAAAGGCTAGTCAAATTCTTCTAGGAGCCCACAGGCAGGGCACAAACAGCTTCCCCTTGCATCAAGCAACTGGAATTCATATTATTTTGGACTATGGAGCATCAATTTTGTTATTCTTGGGCACACTGTTGATACATAGACCCATCCTCAATACAATTTTCTAACTCCCTTTCATCTGCCCTACTGCTTGTCATTTTATTTGGCTGACCCCGAGTTCCAAACAGTACACCCCTAGCCACATCAATTCAGCATTCCACTTTCCAACGTAGTTGCTTTCCTAAAAGCATCAGAAGTGTTTACTTCTCTGGAAGTGCTCCGACTCTCCACTTGGATCAGGGCTGGCCCTGACAGGCCAGGTGAGTTTTGCTTTAGGTGGTGAATGGGATGGGCAGGGGATTGTGTGCACTCCACTACCTTCTGCGACTCCCAGACCCAGATTTCATTCCGTCTGCCTGCTGGGTATCGTGCAGCCATAGGTGGCTGGATGCCTTTCTCTTGGATTATAAGGACAAACATTAATATACATGAGATCCAGATTGGTCAAAGTGCCAAGAGAGAGGCTGGCAGCTGTTGGTATTCATACAAAGTGTTCTAATTATCAAGCAGTTGACACTCTTAGGTAGGTATGCTGACTCCTGAAGTATGAGTCAGCATCTCAAGTGGTGGGGAGTTGACTAATATGTCCATAGTTCTTAGAGGTATAACTGACCTTCCTCCCAGGCTTCCCCTCTGTATTTGATTCCACTTGCGTGAACTGGTGTGCTCGTGATTCCTGGATCCTGGTATTGTAAGAGGACTGCATTATGTACCATCCAAGACTGCAACAGGAATAAAGCTCTTCTTGGAACAAGGTTGGACTCCTGAGAGCTTCATGGGGGTACATTCCATTGCCCACAATCATCTACATCAGCCACCAGCAGCTGCTGCCTAGGAGTGCTGCTGCTTTGCCTTGCAAGGCAAAAAGTGAACCAATTTTAAGTTTTTGCCATGACAGCACTGGTATGGTGGAATCTTGCTCAGTTGCTCTACAATGGTAGTTTTGTAGGGTACCTTATTTTGAGGTATAGTGTGATGAATGGAAGAGGAGGAATAGTGAGTGTCAGCCTAATTGGAGAAATTGCAGTGGTGTGTTGGGGACAGGAAGAAGTGTGGGCAGCAGAGGGAGGTGAGGGCACAATTTGCTGGCCTACATTGGATGTCTTGGGCTGGCTCTACCTTTGATCTGTTTTGGGTCCCTTTTCTCCACCTGTTTCACCTCTATTGAAAATCTAGGGTTTAAGTATCGTTTGAAGCCAACTAAAACTCTACGGAGGTGAGAGGGACCCTCCTGAGTGAGTGAATAAGTCCTCTGAACTGTTGTTTATTCCTCCAAGTTTACCATTTTGTGTTTGGCCAGATAGGTTTGAAGTAAAGAGGACATAAACTTAGTTTTGTTAAGTCCACATCATTATCATTATCCTTTAAAGGAAGTTAATTATCCATGCCAAGTCTGGTTCCTGCTTATTGGAGAGTGATAATTAAATTTTGCTGGGAAACACACAGATTAGCATGCGGATCTTTTCTGCAACTATCAGAGTCGGGATGCTAAGGTCACGTCTTAGATAGGAGCTTGCATCAGGGTCATAGATAGCTCATAAGGGGTATACTTTATGTTGAATTTATGCCAGCTTCAATGAAGCCATGCTCCATAGAAATAAACCCTACAAAATAATTTCAAGAAATGTATTGGGCAAAACATTCTCAAAAGTTGCACATTCTGAACTGTTGTGAACAAAAGTTCAGGACCGTTGCATGTGATAAAACACAATGGTTTTTGTAAATATTTTTTATTGAGAACTTTCCAGAAAATATAAAATGTATAACACTAAACAAAACATACATTAAAGAACCTGTTAGTGAACTATTTAGTCATACACATTTGTGTCAGCTGCAAGCTACAGCAAAGGAATCAAATACAAATAACAAGTACAGATATAACTAAGTGGCTGCCTATACAAAATACATTCTAAGAATTTACAACTATACAAATGAAAGAGTTAATGGCCCTTGACCACAAATAAAACATATGAGGGAATGGGCTTTCTTTGCTGGGCATTAATAAAGGTTAGTCAGATGGCAGAACTTATTCTGATTCTTCTTATTCTCAGAAAAGGAGCAGAGACAGGTGGAGAACAGAGGATGGGCATACTACTGAAAACCATTTTGGGGGGGGGGGAGATAAGGGTCTGAAGTACTGAAAGATCTCTTTAACTGTTCTCAAGATTGCTTCAAGGTGCATCTTTGCCCTGCACATCCCTTTCACAAAGGAAAGGCAGCTGGGGGGGGGGCAAGTCGGCCTGGCCAGGTGGGGGCATGATGCCCCCTGCAATGTTGGGTGAAATTTGGCACCACTTATCCCATGATGTGCCTCCGCTATGGTGAGGGCTTCCATTTGCGAAACAGAACTCCCCCCCCCCGCCGCGTGCCTCCTGTGTCCTCCCCAAATCTGCTCTGGAGGGTTTGGGGAACTTTTATGGATACTCCTCACTGTCTCCAGTCTGTAAGTAAATAGGATAATTGAGATCTCTGCACTATCAGAGAGAAGGGTGTGCTGCAGTTTTCTAACAAAATTACAGAAGAAGACAAGGTATTAAATAATTGTGGGGAGGAAGTATTAATTGCAGAAAAATGCAAAAAAGAAAAACACAAAAAGAAAAAGTATGAATTGACACATGCCCAGTGTTTCTAAGGTGAATAATCTTAACCCTGTATCTTTCTTTGGCTTCACTGAGCCATTTATGTCAGCCTCCGTTTAACCAAAACTGCAATATAGCAAGACTGGATGGTTTGTTTATTATTATTTTTCCTGCTATTAGAAGTACTACGATAGTCAGCTCTTATGTAAAAGCGCCCTCTAGTGTGTGCATTGAGGATAAGCCTCAAAGGGGCTTATTTTTTGCCACCAGGAATTCTTCTAAAAATAATCAACCCTATGGTTCTGATGGCCTCCTGCTGTCACACACCCAAAATCCATCCCCTGGTCTACAAGAAGGCGAAAGAGGCAAAGGAAGTGATGGTTATGAAGGATGAGAAGGTAACACTAGTGAAATTAAGAGTCATCTATGTTCTTTTTTAAAAAAAATACTTTGTTCTTTATTATCAACAAATCTCAATAATCTTATGCAAACAAAAACGATCTTATGTAATTGATCTTGTGTAGATATACAAATAAAACTTAATTCAATCTTAGAAAATCCCTTTCACCATACATTCTTGCTAAAATCAAAAGTTTTCCCATCAACTCCCACAGAGTCATCTGTGTTTGACCCATCGACCAAGGGATGGATGCCACCCGCTGTGATTCGCAAGGTGAGAGATGACCTGTTTTCATGAGGAACTGCGAGGCCAGAGAGAATCTGGCTCTCGGGGGGAGGAAGGAGGCAGCTCCCTGATTCAAGAAGGGTTCAGGGACAGCCCTTCTGAGGAAGAGAGAGAATTTCTCTTTTCTTCTGTGCTTTTCCATTATGAAGGACCCACCTCAATTTCTCAGGTTTGCAGATGTGCTCATGGGCCCCAAGGTGTTTGCAACGTGAGTTTGACTGCTGGTCCAGGAGTGGGAGACACAGGTTCAAATCCCCCCTCACCCACGGAGCTTAAGGGGTGACCTGGGGTGCTCCCTGCCTCACGGCTTAGCCTACCTCACAGAGCTGTTGTGAGGATGGGATGAGGAAGGGAGAATAACGTAAACCACTCTTGAGAGCCTTACAGGAAAAATGGGGTGTCAATGTAATAACAAATGAAAAGCAAATGAAACAATAAGTAAGATGGGGGTGGAGATGTTCCTTCTCCTTATTCTGCCCTAGGTTGAAAAGGTTATGCAAGCTGCTGGCCTTCTGCTGCCGAGTGCCAAAACCCATCCCCTAGTCTGCAAGAAAGAGGACTCCCAAAAGTCCTTTATCTCCACCATCACTGATCCTTTCCCTCTCCCAGGTGAGTGCCTAAGTCGTGCAGAAGCTTCCTGGCCTTTGGGAAGGAGGCGCCAGGAGAACATTTAGGGGGCCAGTCTAGTCCCCCTAGTCCACTGACCACACGCCACTGGGCCAGGGCAAGTACCTTGAGGTGGGGGAGAAGCTTACACTTTGATGAGGCAACTGGGTGGTGTCTTTCTGCCTACACCCCCCATGCCCCTTGGTTTTAAACCAAGGCAAGCTACTGACTTTAAAAATCTCTTAAGAAAGGTCCTGGGAAATACTCTAGGTGGTGATTTTGAGGTGCCCAGTGACACTGACTGCAGGGGAAAGATTTTAACTGGAATTTTTGATAAGCAGGTAAATGTTCCTTGAAAAAAATCACCACATTTCTGCATTTGTTATGGGGGCCCCTGATTTTGAAAGTGGAGCGGCTTAAGCAGGGTTTGTTTCCAGCCAGAACTCACCATCTGACACCTCTCAGGTGGGTGCCATTGCCATCAAGAAAAATAGCCCTGGGCTTAAGTATTTAAAGGCACACCTCGTTTCTTGCTTTGAGGGAGAGATTTATAACCTCCTTTTTCAGATGTTTCCAGGAATTGAGGTGTCTTGGGATACAAATGTACCACACCTTATTCTTTTCTTGCTTTAACCACTTGGGGACCCCCCATTCAAGCAGAGAGGCTACCAGGCTGTGGGATGCCCCCCCTCCTTGTGTCTGACCCCATCATTGTGTGCATTTTGTGGGTTAGCCAAGGCGCATCTTTTTGCACATGCCTTGGGGTGGAAGGTGAGTCCAATGCACCACTCCCTCTGCAGGGTTGTCTGTTGGTTTTGCCTGCTGTTTGACACAGTTTGGTGTTGCTACACACTGTGAGTTGCTTGTTGTTTAAAACTGTGTGTCACCTGCCTGAAGACTTTGTGGTGAAGAGCAGACTATAAATGGATATAAATAAACGTCCTGCTTTTAGACTCTTCTACTAATATGGCTGCCTTGCATTCCATGTGGGCACCAAATGTTGCCATGCTCTACACACATGCGTACACACACACACATCCACAGTGGCATACTGAAACGCTAGAGTTGGCTTTGTGGGAGGCTTAGTGTGGGCAGCTGGTCAAGAGGAAGGACTCCCTTCCACTGCAATCCATACCTCAGTTCTCTGTACTGCTGTTACTATGATTTATACCACTCTTACTTCAGGGAACTCATGGTCTTATTTTTCCTTTTAATAATTTCAATGGGGGTGGGGGGAGAGACAAGATTTTTTCCTGCACCGGGTACCACCTGACCTTGCTATGCCACTGAGTGCGCCCCTCTCCTGAACATATATATTTCAAGTTTGCTCTTCACTTTTCGCTTGTGGGCTTAATCATAAGAAGGGAACCTCTAAGTTTTGGAGGGTCATTTGACAAGCTGTCCTCCTCAGTGGGTCCATCTTCATGAGATAGCCATGGCAGCTAATTCAGTTGTCAGCACCCCCAAATTCACGGCAGCTCTACAGAGCATAAAAGCACTGCAACCCAGTTACTTAGTCTCCTTATTCTGCCCTAGCGTGAAAAGGCTACATGAGCGGCTTGTTTCCTGCTGCGGAACTCCTAAAATCCATCCCCTGGTCTGCAAGGAAGAGAAGGTGGGCTAAGCGACGAGGTGGAGAAGGTAGTGAAATTCCACTGCATATATGTTTGGCCCAGGAAGCAAGAGATGGATGAGACCGGCTCTCTTTCAACAGGGGAGAATTGTTCTGGCACTCAAAAGAACCTAGCTCATTGGGTAGGAAGGAGGCAGGTCTCTGATTCAAGGAACCTCATGAGCAGTGCAGTCATGTGCAGTGCAGTTGTCAGGACAAGATGGGGGGGTGGCCCCCTTGAGTATTCTTGGAGAAAAGTATGTGCATGTTTGGCACAGACAGCAGGGGATGTATGACACCGGATCCGTGCTGATGGGGAATTGTTGTGAGGCCAGAGAGCTCCTGGCTTACTGGGCAGGAAGAAGGCTTGTTTCTGATTCAAGAAGACTTCAGCAGCACCCCTTTTGAAAAGAGAGAACCATTTCTCTTTTCTTTTCTCCTAATCGGGTCACCTGGTCTTGTGATTAAATTCCCAGTTAAGAAACCAAACCAGCCTTCAAAGCCAGGACAAGAAGATAACCAGTCCTCAAAATCTCCCTGAAGCCTGATGAAAATGGTACCACCACCACCTTCCTCATTGCGTCTGAAGTGAAAGCCTAGGACTGAGAGTCGGGGGGGGGGCACTAGCTGCAGCTGGCCTCTCTCAAATTATATTTTTATAACTGAATAATGTACTGGATGAGGGGTGGCCTAGAACTTTTAAAAATAAATAAAAACAAAATTGCTCAAACCGTTTAAAGTTATGAACATGTATATTAAGAGGAACAATGGCCCTGACAGAGGAAGGCTGCCAAAGTAAATGTGACCTGTCCTCCATTGTGACTCTTTCCCCTGCTGGATAACTTGGCAGAGAACTTTGGTAAGAGCAACTATTTGAGGATTGCTAGTAAAGGTGAAAGGAGGGAGTTGTGGAAGAATAAAATATGTTTGCAGCAGCATTAAGGACAATTTCTTCTTCTGAAGTGAAGGTAGAATTTCTATCGCTACCTGCCAAGATTTAGCAGTTTAGATGCTTCAAGGGAAATGGTTTGCATCATCACAAGAGGGGTATCACTCAGTTTTGTAGGGTCTTCTGATAAGATGCCCTCCTCAATGGATCCAACTCCTTGCTGCCCTCTCCATTAGAGATTCCTGGTGGCAAATTCAGCTGCCAGAGTATCAAGAAAGTGACTATAATCCCTTTTCTGATCTCCTCCTTGTTCTTTCTTAGGTTTCTGAGGCTGCACAGGCTCCTGGGGGGCTCCTGCTGTCATGCCCCCCAAATCCATCCCCTGGTCTACAAGAAGGAAGGGGAGGCGGAGGACGTGATGGTTATGAAGGACAGGAAGCCGGCACCAGTAAAAGTCAGAGACATCTATGTGTGCTCCAGTGATCAGGGGATGGATGCCACCAACCCTGATTTGTAAGGCGAGAGATGACCTGCGCTCATGAGAAACTGTGAGGCCAGAGGCAGGTCTCTGATTCAAGAAGAGTTTAGGGACATCCTTTGTGAGTAAGAGAGAGCATCATTTATTTTCTTCTGTATTTTCTCATTGGTTCATTGATTTATCCTGTGAATATGTTCCAGGTTAAGAAACCACTCCAACATTCAAAACCAACTTGGGGGAGGGGAAGCTTTAAAATATTCCAGCATCCTGAAGCCTGCTGAAAATACCGTATTTTTCGCTCCATAAGGCGTACCTAGTTTTCAGAGGAGGAAAACAGGGAAAAAATATTCCGAATCAAATGTCGTACTAAACTACTGGTATATCAGAGTGAGACTGAGAGGGACAGGAGCTGTATGTTTGTTTAGTGTGCACGCTCAAGGAGCCAGCGGATCAGCTGAGACGCTGGGGGGTTTGTCTCATTTTCCCCTCTCCCTCATCCCCTGCCCTCCAGTCCCCAGCAGCCTTCCTATTTTACCTCCTGGTTTTCACTGCGCTTGTGGCTCAGAGCTCGAGGTTGGGGGTTTTTTGCTGTGTAAAAGCGCTCCTCCTTGCAGCCTTCTACTTTGTTTGTACACGTGGCTACTGCTTTCAGGTTCAGTTTGAGTGATAAGCAGCCACTGGCAGCAATAGAATGGAGCACCAAAAAGGGGTAGGGGCACTAGGACCCAGACAATGCTCAAATTTATCCTGCCTCAAAACAAGCTGCAGAAGTAAAAGGCAGCCTCTTGTTCCCAGAGGATCAGCTGAGACGCTGGGGGATTTGCATAATTTCCCCCTCTCCCTCATCCCATGCCCTCCCCAGCCTTTTTTTTTTACTTCCTGGTTTTCACTGTGCTAGTGGCTCAGCGTTCGAGGTTGGGGGGTTTTTTTGCTGCTGGTTGCTTACATTTTATCCTTCCCGATCCAACCCCCCTGTGCCCTGCCGTCCCTCTGCAGCCTCACTGCTCCGTTTAGGGAGCGTGCAGACCTTTGCTAGCTGAGGCTGCTGCAGCTGTTGCTGGCTATGCACCGCTTCTAAAAGCACCTGCTGGCTTTGAATCACCTGCCTCCTCCTGGCTCGCTGTAAAGCAAGCAAAGGGAGAGCTGCGCAAAGCGGGACAGAAGCCCTGTAAGCGGCTCCCGCTTTGCTTGACTGACGGGAGCCATGGCTCCGGTCCAGTCCATTCGCTCCATAAGACACACAGGCATTTTCCCTTTCTTTTTAGAAGGGAAAAAGTGTGTCTTATAGAGCGAAAAACACGGTACTTATGTTTCTCAGAGAACTTTGGTAAGAATAACTCCTTGAGGATAGTGAAGTGAAGGTCAAAGAAGGTGGACAAGAGTGTCGTTAACTATGGTACTGTCATGGTATTGACGGAGAATGAAGGGGAGGAGGAGAGACAGGCATAGGAAGGGGGGCAGGAAGTGGCGGTGGAGGAAAGAAGGGAAAGCCAGGAGGAGGGACGGCTCACAGATGTTGGACCAGAGCCTCAACACCGCACAGGAAGTTCTGGCACAGACAGTGAAGCAATGCCTGCTCCGTCTGCCCAGGAAAGGAGAGTGTTAAAGAGGAGGGGACAGAGACATCACATGAAAATTCCCCGCCTTTTCTGTTGGAGAAGGGGCAGGCATAAGCCACTCCCAGAATCTGAGCCGGAGGATTCGGATGCATGATTGTAATGGGCTGCTTGTACATATGTAAAATAAAGACTGTATATATGTATCTCTGAGTGAGCAGAAGCATTTCTTGCGAAGAGCGTTCACAAGCCATCACAGGTACTCAGCAGAATAATTTCCTCTTGTAAAGTGTAAGGAAGATTTCTCATTTTTTCTGTATTCTGGTTCTATCACTATCCATCAAGATTTAGAAACATAGGAAGCCATGGCATGGTTAGATTATTTTAAAAAGATGGTCCTTCGAACCAGTTTAGATGCTTTCAGGGTTAATGGCTTGTCTTTTTGCTTGTGGGCATAATCCAACAAAGAGCACAACCCCAAGATGTTTTGGACAAGCTGTCCTCCTCAGTGGAGCTGTATTTTTTGCTGCACTCTACGTGAGATATACATGACAGCAAATTCATTTGTCAACACCCCCAATTCACTGCAGGTTTACAAAGCATGAAGGTGTTTTTATTATGTTTTTATATATGTTGTAAGGAGCCCAGAGTGGCTGGGGAAACCCAGCCAGATGGATGGGGTATAAATAATAAAAAATAAAATTATTACTACTACTACAACAACCCAGTTCCTCACCATCTCCTTATTCTGCCCTAGATTGAAAAGGCTACATGAACTGCTTGTCTGCTGTTGCTGAAATTCTAAAATTCATCCCCTGGTCTGCAAGAAAGAGGAGGAATTGGATGAAGATGTGGCCTTAATGAATCTGGCTGATTGGGCAGGAAAGAGGCAGGTCTTAGATTCAAGAAGACTTAGGGACATCCCATTCAAAGAAGAGATAACCATTTCTCTTTTCTTCTGTCCTTTCTTATTGTTTAACAGGGTCACCTGACCCTGTGATTAAGTTGGCTACATACAATTTCTATGTTCATTCCACAATTGCATGGAGTTATATGCCCTTCATCATGTGAACACATGTTCACATACAACTCTATCCTATGCATGCTCATTCAAAAGTAGCTCCCATTGCACAAAGAGGAAGAAATGTCTACTTTCTTTCACAATATACCATTTTTTTCGCTCCATAAGACGCACTTTTTTCCTCCTAAAAAGGAAGGGGAAATGTGTGTGCGTCTTATGGAGCGAATGCAGATGGGAGAAGGGACTGATGGGCTGCCTTCTGTCCCTCATTCCAGCTCATTGGAAAGCCAGCAAGAGCCGCTGCTGCTGCCAGGCTCTGCCTAGCTCTCTCTTTAAAGAGCTGCGCCGAGTGTGTCTGCGGCTCTTGCTGGCTTTTCCACGAGGTGCGGGGAGGGACTGATGAGCTGACTGTAATTCAAGCAAAGGGAAAGCCGCTTACAGGCTTGCTTTACAATGAGCCAGAAGGAGGGACGGAGGGCAGCCCCTTCCGCCCCGCCCCCCAGATGACTGTACCGGTAATTCAAGCAAAGGGAGAGCCACTTACAGGGCTCCTGCCCCAGGGTCTCCTCCTCCTCTTTTTGCTCCGGTTCCAGCGAGGCAAGGCAGCTGCCCGCCACAGGCACGTGGCACAAATGTGAGCTCTCCATCTCTCTTCCTTCCTTCCCTCCCCCTTCCAACTTGAATAAAATATTGGGGGGACAGGTAAGCCCCACCTTACATACTGCAATTCAGCCTTTCTCAACCTGTGGATCCCCAGATGTTGTTGAACTACAACTTCCATCGCCCCTAGGTAGCAAGGCCAGAGCTCAGGGAAGATGGGAGTTGTAGTCCAACAACATCTGGGGACCCACAGGTTGAGAATTGCTGTGATCTCAAGACAAAGTGCATGCACACTATATGAATGACAATGCCCATCAACATATTGGGGGGGGGAACGACTCCCTCAAATATTTAATGGGGGGGCGAAGGCACCTAGGCCTCTAGGAGTTGGCTGCTATGCCTAGGACAATTCAAGAAAGCAAAATGATGCATATGCTATAATATCAATAAACTTTTAGGGTGATACCGTAATTCTTTTTTTTATAGACTATATGTTGGCTATGTTTACTATGATGCCATTAGTTAAAGGTATGGTCAGCACTCAGTGGTAAACATTGGAGATACCGTACATTACTGACAGTTCCTTCATCACTGTATTTTCTTGCAGAAAACCTCCCCCATTCTGATAAGGATGATAAAGCGGAAAAGACTAGCATATAAAATTCCTTTTAAACTAGAGGTAGTAAAATATGCTAAGGAGAATGGAAACAGAGCAGCAGAGAGACATTTTAGGCCACCTCCAACTGAAAAAATGATAAGAAAGTGGAGGAAACAGGAAGCTCAGCTGCAAAAAGTAAGAAGACTTTTCGTGGAAATGCTGCAAAGTGGTCACAGTTGGACGTGGCCATGAAAGAATGGATCACAAATCACTGGAATAATGGCTTCACAGTCTCTACAAAAATGATAATATATGAAGCCAAACGCATTGCTGTAGAGAAAGGCATTCATGATTTTACTGGATCACCATCGTGGTGCTACAGATTTATGAAGCAGTAAGGCCTTGCTATGCGCACCAAAACTAGAATTGCACAAAAAATGCCAGAAGAATATGAATCTTTTCATAAATTTGTAATTGATGCTAGGAAGAGAAATGGATTTGAAATTGGCCAATTAGGAATCTGGATGAAGTCCCACTAACCTTTGATGTGCCATCTAATAGGACTGTTGATCTGAAAGGTGCCAAAACTATCATCGTGAAAACCTCCAGACATGAGAAAACCCATTACACAGTTGTGTTGTTATGCTGTGCAGATGGCACCGAATTGCCACCCATGTTAATTTTCAAAAGAAAAACTTTTCCAAAAGAAATGATTCCACGAGGAATTGTACATGTTCATGAGAAAGGATGGATGGACAAAAATGGAATGAGAGTATGGGTTGAAAAAGTGTGGTCCAAACGTCCTGGAGGGCTTTTGAAAAAACCTGCCTTATTAGTACTTGACCAGTTTAGAGCACATATTAGCGAAACTACAAAAAAGTGCTTTAAAGAAGTGAAGACTCATCTAGCTGTAATTCCTGGAGGTCTTACCAGCCAGTTGCAACCTCTCAACGTTTCCATCAACAAGGTCTTTATGCGAGAAGAGTGGAACAAATGGATGGCTGCTGGTAATCATGATCTGAAACCTACTGGGCGAATGAAGAGGCCCACTCTCACTCAGGTTTGTGAATGGGTGAAAACATCATGGCACTCGGTGAAGGAGGAAATCGTTGTCCGGTCATTCAAAAAATGTGGCATTAGCAATGCTTTGGATGGAAACGAAGATGGTCTTTTATATAAAGATAGCGAAGAAAGTGATGTCAGTGACTGTGAGCAACTGAGCTTCATAAATTCTGACTCTAGCACTGATGAGTTCTTGGGGCTCACAGAAGACTAGAAGAGTACTCAAACCTTAAAGTCTCTCTTCATTTGTTAATGACAGTGATGGTGGTTCTTAATGCCACTGTTGACTGCTGTTCACTTTACATGGTTGTAATATGATTCTGATATACCAGTTGTTTATTAAATAGTTTAGTACAACATTTGATTCAGAATATTTTTTTTCTTGTTTTCCTCCTCTAAAAACTAGGTGCGTCTTACGGTCGGGCGCGTCTTATGGATCAAAAATACGGTAAGTTTACAGCCTATCACTTCTCAGACACACTGCATGCATCTATAAATGCTCTTATCACTCAAGTTTTATTAATTACAGGCAACTCCTCACTTGCGCATGATATACTTGTGCACAACTGCGCCCATGAGTGGCACCGTGAACCCAGAGGCAGCGGAAGAGAGCTTGGCAGTCCTCCAGACTTGCAAGGAGATCCTCCCCAGGGCTGCTCAGCCTCCCAGCCTAACAACTGACATGTGGGGTAGAACAGCAGCCGCTTTCCCACACACCAGCTGTTAGGCAGGGAGGCTCAGCAGCCCGTCTGCTGTGCCTCCAAACTCTTTGGTGTTCTCTTTAGGCTCTGGGGAGGGTCACCTTGCAAGCCATGAGGACTTGGGGCCCCGGAACATCCCCGGTGTAAGTGGGGAGTCACCTGTGTATTATTATCAGGAAACGACGGGGGAAATGTGGGTGGGGTACACTGATACCTCCCCTGAATTTTACCTGTCTTGACCTGTATCTCGAAAAGAATACAAACAGCTATTCAGTTTAGAGTAGGTAATGTCTTGACAATATAAATGTTTTAAGTTTTTTTTTATCAATCTAGTATATTTTCTGTTAATTGTTGAATGGTTCTGTGTACATTGCGGCAGCCTTTGGCTATGCGCAATAAAACTGACTGAGTAATCATAGCGATTAGGCAATCAGGGACCCAAATGAAACAGCACACAGAGAATTAAAAATTGCACAGGTATCAGCTAACCCACAACAGGATAATTGCAACAAATAAATTGTGATTTGATTTTGCTGAAAGTGTATGTTTGCCTCCTGGCTTGGGACTGCTAAAAGAGAATCTAGAGAAAATGGGATGGTCCATGAATCATAGACACTTATTCGGCTACTCTAGTGCAGCTGTCACTGGAGGGTTCTGAAGCTCCCCCATTCCAGCACAATTAAGATCCCTTTTCGCTTGGCTATTTGATCTTTGAACCTGTGGCTCATGAGAAACACTTGTTAAACTTCAGCTATAGGCTGAAATGCCACAGAAATATTGCCTGAAGCAAAATGTGGAGCACAGTTGAGAAGTTCCTCCTTAATTTGGGGTGAGGGACCCTGAGAAATGTTCAGGGAAGCCAAAAGAATTCTGAAAAGACCAGCGAAGGAGTTTCACACTATTATTATTATTATTATTATTATTATTATTATTATTATTTATACCCCGCCCTCCCCAGCCAAGACTCAGGGCTCAGGGCGGCTAACAACTAATAATAAAAACAAGTGGATTAAAATACAATTTTAAAAAAATATTAAAATACACTAAAACATTAGGATGCAGCCTCTTCACAGGATGAGAAAGGAAAAAGAAAGAGGGGGAGGGAATCAAACTGATTCTAAGCCAAAGGCCAGGCGGAACAACTCTGTCTTACCAGCCCTGCGTGGAGAAATCAGATCCTGCAGGGCCCTGGTCTCAGGAGACAGAGCGTTCCCACCAGGCCGGAGCCAGTGCTAAAAAGGCCCTGGCTCTGGTTGAGGCTAATCTAATTTCCTTAGGGCCTGGGACCACTAGGGTGTTGCTATATATGGACCTTGAGGCTCTCTGTGGGGCATACCGGGTGAGGCGGCCCCGTAGGTACGAGGGTTCTAGGCCGTGAAGGGCTTTAAAGGTCAAAACCAGCACCTTAAATCTGACCCTGTACTCCACCGGGAGCCAGTGCAGCTGGAAAAGCACTGGGTGAATATGCTCCCATGGCAGAGACCCCGTGAGGAGCCTCGCTGCAGCATTCTGCACCTGCTGGAGTTTCTGGGACAGCTTCAAGGGCAGCCTTGCGTAGAGCGAATTACAGTAGTCAAGCCTGGAGGTGACCGTCGCATGGATCAATCCTAGCCATGGCCAACCTGCTCTAACCTCTCCATGAGCCTCTTTCCTTCACAATGTCCCACTGATAAGAAGCAGGGATCGAGGGAAAACACTACAGCAGACAGAATGATGGGAGATCAAAATATTGCAACTTCAGTTACATAATTTGCCACAAAGTCAATATATTAGGCAAAACTAATGTCTTAGGTGTACCAAGATAAAACAAAATTTGATCTCTAATATGGCTGCTTCAAGTGTTAAAGCATGAAGCCATTTTTAGACAAGTGAGATTTGGAGTAGTTGTTCTGCAGTTGTTTAAGAAGCAGGAACCCTGAACTAACCAGTTTAAACTGGCTTGAAAATCTGTATTTGTGCATAATGGAGATCAGTACTACATGCAGAAGATGCTATTTCCCTGGGAAAATTTAAGCTTCTCCTACCTGCTTCTTTTTAATTTTTAATTTTCATGTACCACAATCCCTACCCCATTTGCTGAAATGACATATTTTATTGCTGCAACTCTCGATTACCAAATGATGCATTAAATGTAGACTCACATCTACCAGCGAGTCTCTGGGCATATTTTTGGGGGGTGGGGTGGGGGAGGGGAGGAAGTATCTAGTCCCCAGTATTTTGGACTAGGTGGACATCACTCTGATTCATCAAGATTAGATCTAAATTTTAAGCAACAGTGCATGTTTACAGCTATAGAAAATGTCTATCAAGTCAGGCCATTGGTCCATCGAAGGGAGTGTTGTCAACACTATCTGGCAGATGCCTTTCCAGGGCTTCCTAAGAGACGTGAGGGATGGAACCTGGGACCTTTCATGGGCAAAGCAAGTGCTTCTGCCACTGAGCACCAGCCCTTCCTGTTGGTCACTCAACACACTTTTTAACTGCTATGACATCCTGAGAGTGCACGCATGCTTGGATATGTTGGTCAACTATGGAGGTGCTGTTAAAAAGTGCAAAAAAAGAACTGAAGGCAACCCACCACTACTTTAAAGCAGCGGTCTAAAATAATTTCACACCCAAGGCCCACCTTGCAACATGGGACCCAAATTTCTCTTTTTTCTTTTCTTTCAGTAAGTAAGCATGCCCACCTTTCTACTTTCTTACTTCCTCCTCTTTTCTTCATTTTCTTAAGGGGGAAATAAAACACTAAACCAAAAGGAGACAGAGAAGAAAATGTGACAGCAAAGTCAAAGTGATTCACTTTAGACATGGGTACATTCCTGATCTTTAAGTCCTGAACCATTGCTTGAAGACTAGTGATATAAAACACATTCAAGCATAACTATTACATATTAAGAGATCTTGAAGCTTTCTAGGTAGTTGCAACAAAAGTACACAAATCAAAGCCTGAAAAGAATCCATATTTGTCATGATCACTGTTTTCTCTCTGCCTTTGTAGTGTTTTGGATGTCCAAAGTCTCCACTTGTAGTGAATATTGTGTGCATGTTGCTTCACATGGCATAGGAAGTTCCAAGGTGCCTTGTGGTAATACAGATGTCTACATTTAGCTCCAGGTGTTTTCTGTTTTTCTCTGTATGCATGAGATCAAAAAATTACTTTAAAATAACTAAATTATCCAGATTTTTAAACAACCCAATGAGCTTAACAAAGAGACTTCTGCAAATACTTACTGTAACTTGCCAACTCCTGAAAGGCTTCTTGTTGTAGCCTAGTAGACCGCACTAAGCTTGAACTCACGCAGCTGAGAAGTGGTGTATTCCAGTTCCTTAGTTCCAAATCTGAAATCATAACATAAGCAGTCTTTGTGCTTGAAAACATGCCTGTGTGGTCCTTGGCCACATGAGAAATGTTAATGGATTTAAAAACACATACAATTTGCATGAGTTGTTTCAAGCCAAACTTACAGCAGGAAGGTAGAGGACACTTACCAGTTGGAAATGAAGCAGTGTATCTGCCCAAACCTTTTGCAGGCACAAATAGTATTGAAAGCAGGACTGCATGCAGCTGTCCCAATACCATCACAGGCACAAATTATTGTGAATGCACAAGAAAAGGATGTCTGGAGGGGTCCTAGGATAAAAACTTAGGATAGGCTGAGGTAACTGGAGGTCCCTGACCCCAAGGACACATCCTATTATTATGCATCTTAACTCTTTCTTGAAAGCCGTGGGCAAATACCAACCCTGGGGGCTATATTCTACCTCCACCAACTGGAAAATAGAGTGAAGACAGCTGCTGTGCTCAGGAGCTTGAGGGCTTCCCATAAGCACCTGGTTGGCCACGGTGAGAAGAAGATATTGGCCCTGATGGGCCCTTGGCCTGATCCAGCAGTCAAGAGCTATGGAGGCCAGTTCCCCCAGCACCAACAGCAACAGAGTCTGTCAGATTTTGCCCCTTATTTGCCTCTCAGGCTTATAGAAGGGGGGGGGATCAGTAACTGATATTCAGAAACATTACTGCCTCCAACTATAGTTTATTTTAAAAACTGGCAACACATCCTACTGTTAGCCACTTGTTCAATGTGTAGATGATGTTTTGTAGATAAAATAAAGTGCCTCCAATAATAAACGAACTATTTCAGTCACTACTAAACCAAGAGGTGCTGTGGGGGGGGGGGGAGTCCAAACTAAAGGGTCACCATTTGAACTATTGCAAGGGGGGAAAGATGCAGGGTTGGTAGGAGATAAAAGCTGGGGAAATGTCCACTCAGCCCCACCACTTTGCAGCTGTTGAACAAACTGACAGGAAGCAGTACCATACATGCATGGATGTGCAATTTATAGGGCACTTCCAGACCGGGCTGTTTATTTAGCATTCTTGCTGATGTTTGCCCAAAACGTACAGAGAACATATGGTGATGTTTGTTTGTTGAGAATTTGTCCTGCTACTTGTACACTAAGCCTATATGACAGTGTCAGCTAGTGGCCATACCCCATGGTTTTAGCCACTTTTCTCACTGGACTTCTTGTTAAAAACTTCAGGATAAAAAAAAAAGCCAGGAAGTTCCTGCTCTAACTGTCTTACCTTATTCATTAAGTTAGCAGCTGACCTTAAACAAGCCACTTTCATTCAGTCCCCCTGAATGCAACATGGGGCTAACAATATGGACCTATGTTACAGGGTTGTTGTAAAAAAAAACATCGAGATAATGCATAAAGTGCTTTGAGGGCATAAAAACCTCTACATAAACAAGTGCTAAACTCACCTTCAGTTCACTGGACTGGACCATGCCTTCCAAAGTTTTGGCAGTAGCAACAGTCAGCAGTGAAGACATCTTTTTCCAGCTGCAACGCATTTCGACCCAAAGGGTGGGCGGGAGTGTGCGTCGCCTTCTTATGAGCATGAACTATAGCAAACTTTGCGGAGGATTGCTTCACTCAGCAAGGGACCTACAATCAAGTAATTTAATATAGCAGGTGCTGTGAATACTTTAATAGGGACACGCACAAAGGAATTTGCTAGAGAAAGTCAATGATTTATAAAACTAAGTACTCTTAGGTGCCTTTGGGACAATGACTGAATCAGGAACAAAGGGTGGAAAATGGTTTTGTTACCAAAAAAAATGTATTTTCAAGTAGTCTACTAGCTTGAACTTTCTGATGAGGAGAGGACAGATTCTTGAATTGGTCCATGGCACCTTTGATGTTCCCATTTATTACAATTCTCAGACCTAATTAAGGATTTTCAAAGCAGATGTTCAGCTCCCAATTGCACCTTTTAATTCACATATACAGTTCCAGATTGGTTTAGAGATTTGATGTAGTCCAGAGCTAACACAGTAGTCTATTTTCCTATCGTCTCATAAACCTCTTTCTTTTCTTCCTCCACTGCTTATCATCCATGTATTCAGTATCGTCAGGAGGGTCTGGGGTTACAAAACCATGTGTCAGTTTATAGTAGACTATTGTGGAGTCTGATTCAACTATGGCCAGTGTGATAGAGAGCGGAGAATCAGGTTCATCCTTCAGAGTATATGATCTCTTCATGATCTGTCTCAACCTGAAAGAAAGAAAAAAAGACTCCAGCAATTCTGCTTACTTTGTTTAAATTTCACAGTCAATCTACAAACAGATCAAGTTAATAATAGTTCTACTTTAAGTATCTAAAAAAGAACTCCGAGTAAATCAAATATCCTCGGAGTAAATCTTGCATGCTTCTGCTATCAAAGAAACCCAACAGTGCCTGCCAGCCTTTTTGACAAATTTATCAATAGGATTGCCACCTATTTGCCTTTCTTTTTTGTGATGGGGCTCCCACGCCTCTAAAGGATGGATGACTGATAGCGGTGCAACAAAAGCAGCTTTCCCCGTCACCGTGGGAATAGCTAGGGAGGGGTATAAATAAAAATTTGTTATTATTATTATTATTATTACACTGGAGCCCTTCCAGAGGAAAAGGTTTTCAATGCCAACATGCCACAAATCTAAAGTTATTAGGTGGGGCTACCGTGCACTAAAGGGCCCACGCAGCTTCCCTTTGGTATAATTGTGGTGGCAATGGCCACTGGCTTAGATAAGATTCCAGAGTTATGGAATACGATTAGCTTAATAATAATAGAATATAAGATTGAACAGATAGCAGCCATGATTGCAGAATCATCGTCATATAAGAAAGTTAGGTAAATTACACAACATGAATGTATCTGTATAATTAAAATATTTCAGATTCACTCAAATCCCACCCCACCCCTGTTACTCTAAAGCAGAGTTTACCAAACTTGGGTCTCCGGCTTATTACATCCTGGCACAGTGTAGAATATGGTTCCCTGCGCCGTTTGCAGGTTCCCTGTACTTTTTTCTCCTCTGTTCATTATCACCTTCCCACGAGGACTCCTGGCAGCTGAAGAACCTGCCACTTTGCAGAACGCAGCACCCTTCAAAAGGGTGGCAGGCAGCAGCTGAGCGTTACTTCTCTCCTGCGATGACTGCCAATTAGCCTTCATAATGGAAATCGCCCGCTAGCTGAGGCAGCTGCACACTATGAAGTCAAAGGGCAGCAGTTGGTATGCTGATGCCAAGCAAGGGTCAACACAGAGGTGGGGGGCAGGGGGATTTCTCAGCCTCCTCTTCTCTAAGCGGTTAGGGATTGTGAAAGCCGTTTTTGTTGAATTCCAGAGAGGAATACAAATGAGAAAGTAGAGCAAATGATTTGCATGTACTAAGTCCCAGATTCAGCTCAGGAGACAGCTCAGACTCCCTGCAGGCTGCCTCTCCAACAGCCCCTGTGGGGGGGACAGGATTCCCAGACACAAAAGCCACCTGTCTCTACCGTGTTATGAACACTAAATTTAAAAACTCAGCTCCTTCTGCATTCCAGAGCAGCAGTACTCAAGGCACAGAGTGAAGGCAAAAAACTGAAAGATACCAAGTAAGTTCTAGAGGTCATATCCTTGGTAACTGGATTTTCCTAATTGAGGCCAGCTCAAAAATGCCATGAGTTGGCATCAAAAATGCAATGGCTACTTCATCTGACATACAACCATGTGTGTCCACTCTGCGCTGGATATGATTTAGAGAATAAATCTCTGGAAATAAGGAAGCCAGCACTTCCACTGCCTCAAGGCAGCATTGTTGGGGCCAACATACAGAATTCCTGATAAGCTGTACTTCTACAGAAGTTATTTGTTATAGAAACAGGGAAGGAACTCTTACTGAAGCTCTTCACCTCCAATTACACTGAAGGCATTGTATAGCACATCTGTCATGAACGGGAATGGGGATAAGATATGTCTCAGGTTGATAGAATAACACACAAATTTGCCAGAAGCATTTTCTACTTCAAAAGCACTGCGAGACAAAATATAGAAATACCAGTGGGTGAGGCGCAGATGGAAACAGTGACTCTTTCCATAGAACTCACACTGACCCTTTTCAACCCCTTTACTCCTGACATTCTTAAGGTCAGCACCAGCTAGCCCTGAAGTATACAGTGACTAGCACAATCCCAAATGAAACAAAATTGCTGCAATTTACTAAAAAAAAAATACTAAAATATTACTACAATAATCAATCATTTACAGGACATTTCAACTGGGAAGTCCCACTGATTTCAATAGGACTTACTTCCTAGCATGTGTGTGTTTCAGCCCTAAATTCTGATTTAATTGCTGAGGCTGGGCACCAACGTAAGAGAAAGCCCCAAATAAGAAGTGTGCAAAGTAAAATGATGGCTTTTGGCAAAAAAAACCAGCCCCTTAAGGAAGGTTAAAGACTGTATTCATTAAGAGCCAAAGATAGTCTGAAATGCTCAAATTACTAGTATGAGTATTTCAAAGCTTCCTCTTGATGGCTACTGGGGAGCTGGAGTAATGAGCTCATTAATTTAAGCATTGCCAAAACAAGATGTCAGTGTTACTGTAACTTTTATTTCCTCTCTGCTGAAATAGTATTTGAAATTAGACACGTTTTGAATGTTAATCATTCAGGCAGGCCATGTGTGGCAATTATGAGGCTTTGGTTCACTTTTGAACACAGAGGCTGAGGATTCAGCCCAAGCTGAAAAGCACTAGAGCAAAATCTCCCATTACTAGGTGTGATCTGCAAATCTCCAGCCCAGGAAATGCTTACAAAAAAGTCTTCCTGTGGATGCTTTCAGAATGCCCAATCATTCTTACTGTAATGTTCCTCAGTCTCCCAGTTTGAGTGCCCACTGAAAGATTTCTAATTTCCTTCTGTATTTTGTAGCCTATGACAAGAGTCTGACCCAGGATAGCTGGTTTGTTATCATGGCTTGTCCTGTCTCTGAAGCACGAAGAATTGCCATGAAGATCACCACTGTAGGTGCAGAACACAGCATTGAAACTGAGCAGGCAGATACAAAATATTGCCCATGTAAGCTACAGAAGCTAAATTAACACACGTATTATATGGACAAACATGAGAACTGTCCCACCACATTAGCCCTATTCAAGTATTCATTTCTGAATGTATGAAGGAACCAGTGGGAATATGTAGGCCTCTTGGAGGCCAGGAATGATAAGCAAGCAGTACTAATGTTCACAGATGCAGAGAGGGCCTTTGATAATGTGTCCCGGATGTTTATGAAAAAATGATAGAGATGATGAATTTTGGAGAATCATTTCAGAGGAGAATAGATGCAATCTATTCAGAACAACAGGCTATGTTGATAGTGAATAATGTGACAACAGAAAAATGTAAAATTGCAAAACGGACAAGACAGGGATGTTCCCTGTCTCCATTGCTGTTTATATTAGTCTTAGAAACACTGGCAAGATGTATAAGCTCAGATGATGAAATAAAAAGGATTACCGTACTTTTCGCCCTATAGGACGCACCTTTTCCCCTCCAAAAATGAAGGGGAAATGTGTGTGCGTGCTATGGGGCGAATGCAGGCTTTCGCTGAAGCCTGGAGAGCGAGAGGGGTCGGTGCGCACCGACGCCTCTCTCGCTCCAGGCTTCAGGAAGCTCTCCGCAAGCCTTGGGAGCCGGCGGGAGTTCCCGTCTGGCTCCCTAGGCTTGCGGATAGCAGCCTGCATCTCAAAGCCTGGGGCGCGCTGCACAGTGTGCCCCGGGCTTCAGTTCCCCGACCTGGTTTGGAGGCTGGCGGCAGGGAGAAGCGCGCTTCTCCCCGCCGCCAGCCCCACAAGCTCAGGGGACAGCGGGGAGGCGCAGCGCGCCTTCCTGCTGTTCCCCGACCTGGTTTGGGCTTCAGGCAGATTTCCGCAAGGCGTGGGAGCCCGGCGGGAAGTCTCGCCGGTCTCCTAAGGCTTGCGGAGAGTTGCCTGTTCTGGGGTCTGGGGTCGGGAGAAGCTCGGGCTTCCCCCGCCCCAGCCCTGTGCCTGGGGGGGGGGAATAATTTTTTTTCTTTATTCCCCCCCCAAAAAAACAACTATGTGCTTCCTATGGGCCGGTGTGCCCTATGGGGCGAAAAATACGGTACGTTTGGTTGCAAAGCATACAAACTGAAAGCCTTTGTGGATGATTTGGTGATAACAGTAGAAGACCCGTCAAAAAGTTTACCAAGGGTCTTGGATAGAATTTTGGGGTTTGGCTGGGTAGCAGGATTTAAGCTAAACAAACAAACAAACAAACAAACAAAAACCAAATTGTTGGTACAAAATATGACAGAACAACAACAAAAGGAATTACAAAAACACCCTGGAATTATCAATAGGAAAAAATGTGAAATATTTGGGGATATGAAACTTTCCCAAAGATGGAAGGAGGACAATCTATCTACAAAAGAAGAATGGCAGCTAAAGATGATGGACTATGCCGAATTAGCGAAAATGACCGGGAAAATCAGAGATCAAAAGGACAATAAATTTAATAAAGATTGGGGGAAATTTTAAAGTTATTTCAAAGAACACTGTAAACAATTGAAAACATTGGCAGGATTTTGACAACACTGGCAATGAAGAGAGAACTATGATAAAAATTGAGTTTCAAGAAAATACGGAGAATAGGATACGATGCAGTTTGAAAAAGATTATCTGGGGAAACCATGGAGGGCTAGAGGGAAGTTCCAGGATTCCGAGAATCCTATTTGTAAAACGATTTTGATTTATGTATGATGATAAATGTTAAAAGTGAAAATGAATTTTAAAATGTCAAAAAAGAAGGAATATGTAGACCTAGCCCTGTGTCCTCATTGCCATCATGTGCAACACCATCTTCCAGCTGATGTGTGATTGGCTCAGTCCAATGACTCACATGATTCAATGTTTGGGGAGGATTCAAATGCTTCCCTGAATTATGAAGCAATACACTCCCATGCAAGTTATTCAAAATAGTGAGTCATTGGATCCTCATGAATCCAAATTTTAAGCAAGATGACAAACCCTGGTTTGAGGAATAAGGGAAGTCAAATTGGACTTGCCACAAAATTAGCACTGCGGAGCACTGATGTTCCAGATTCTGACCAGTCAACCAAGGATATTCCATTCCATTCTGTTCCACCACCACCCCACCAAGACAGTCAGTATTCTGTGTTCATTATGTATGCTGAGCCCTCACTGAGCTGCTTTTGGATTTCCACACCCCACCCCAAACAACTTTGTGTTCTTTACAAATACTGGGCTTCTCCAAAACTGCTGCTATCGCCCACTTCTGCACAGCCGAGACTGTTTGGGTTGCATAAGGATCTACACATGGCAAACTAATTCACTGTTAGTATTTATGATGGTGTGCACAACTGCAGCCACATAGGAGAACTGGGCACAAGTTCTTAAGTGGAGTCATTTGGCAGCTGAGAATGAAACAGACAGAGCAGGCTTGAGAGAAATCACACATTCAATGTTTGCCCTATTAGAAAGACTGGTTGCCAAGTGGACCTTCAATCAATGTAATTCATTCACCCTTTGCCATCCCAAGAATGTCATCTTTTAACGGAATGCCAAAGACAGAGCAAACAGCATCACCACCACACAAATTTATAGAAACTCTACATGAATGAAAAGCTTAATGAAATAGTCAAAGATGCATTGGTGATATTGTAACTCCAGTAACTAAAAACATGTTTCAACAGATTTGTGGGTGCCTACCAACACATAAGGAATCAGGATTTGGTATTCTTTTCCCATGTCACTGACCAAAGCCAACAGTGATCTGGAAACCATCTGATCCTGGGGTACAAGAAGGAAATTTTCTAAACTGCGCAAGTCCACAATTCTGCCACTGTTTTATACAGATACAGTGGTACCTCGGGTTAAGTACTTAATTCGTTCTGGAGGCCCATTCTTAACCTGAAACTGTTCTTAACCTGAAGCACCATTTTAGCTAATGGGGCCTCCTGTTGCCGCTGCGCCGCCAGAGCACAATTTCTGTTCTCATCCTGAAGCAAAGTTCTTAACTTGAAGCACTATTTCTGGGTTAGCGGAGTCTGTAACCTGAAGCGTATGTAACCTGAGGTACCACTGAATTGGCCCTGGATCTAGAAATCAGCATCTGGAATTTTTTAATTTTTTATTAATGCCCACTTGAGACCCAGTCCTTTAAACCTCCCAGGAAGGCAGGAGATGAGATTTACATTTACCGTATTTTTCGCTCCATAGGACGCACTTTTTCCCCTCCAAAAATGAAGGGGAAATGTGTGTGCGTCCTATGGAGCGAATGCAGGCTTTCGCTGAAGCCTGGAGAGCGAGAGGCATCGGTGCGCACCAACCCCTCTCGCTCTCCAGGCTTCAGGAAGCTATCCGCAAGCCTTGCAAGCCCGGTGGGAGTTCCCGCGGGCTCACAAGGCTTGCAGGCAGCAGCCTGCAGCCCCGGCGAGTGTCCGCAAGCCTTGCGCGCCCGGCAGGTGGTCCCGCCGAGCGCGCAAGGCTTGGGGCAGCAGCCTGTCGCCCGAGCACGGGAGCCCTCCGGAGGGCTCCCGTGCTTCGGGCGAGTGTCTGCAAGCCTTGCGCGCCCGGCAGGAGATCCCGCCGAGCGCGCGAGGCTTCGGGCGGCAGCTAGTCGCCGAGCACGGGGAGCCCTCCGGAGGGCTCCCGTGCTTCGGGCGAGTGTCAGCAAGCCTTGCGCGCCCGGCTGGAGGTCCCGCCGAGCGCGCAAGGCTTGGGGCTGCAGCATGCCGCCCGAGCACGGGGAGCCCTCCGGAGGGCTCCCGTGCTTCGGGCGAGTGTCTGCAAGCCTTGCGCACCCGGCAGGAGGTCCCGCCGAGCGCGCAAGGCTTGGGCGGCAGCCTGTCGCCCGAGCACGGGGAGCCCTCCGGAGGGCTCCCGTGCTTCGGGCGAGTGTCTGCAGGCCTTGCGCGCCCGGCAGGAGGTCCTGCCGAGCGCGCGAGGCTTCGGGCGGCAGCTTGCGCCCGAAGCACGGGAGCCCTCCGGAGGGCTCCCCGTGCTTCGGGCGAGTGTCTGCAAGCCTCGCGCGCCCGGTGGGAGGTCCCGCCGAGCGCGTGAGGCTTGGGGCGGTAGCGGGGGGGGGGATAATTTTTTTTATTCATTTCCCCCCCCCAAAAAACGAGGTGCGTCCTATGGGCCGGTGCGTCCTATAGAACGAAAAATACGGTATATCTGAAATGTGCTCAGAAACAAGCTGGTGAAGATTTTTTTTGCAAGTTGTGTTCCATTGAGTGAGTCCTGCTTGTTATATTCTGAACCAGCCAAAGTTTTAAAACAATCTTCAAAGGCAGCTTCTATGGTTTCACCAAGCTTTGCCAAGCAAAACTGCAGGAGCAAAACAGCCTTGAGCATTGCCAACCTATGTTTGGTTTGGCTAAAATAAACTCAAAACCAAAGCCTCTGTGGATCCTTGCTCACCTCTCATGGCTAATTGACACGTGGACAGGAGTTGGCACCACCACTTGAAAACCATCCGTTTCTCTCTCTCGTCCACAGAGACACACAAGCTGGAATTCCGCAAGGCCAATGTAGGACACCTCATGCCAGTTCCTAGCTGAAGGAACAGCAGCAAAATGAGAATGAACTAAATAAAAAATAGCATTCAGTTTGGTTCACTGGATTTCTTAAACACCTTTTTCTAAAGGAAGACTCAAGGCGTCTTGCAGTAAAGAGTCAGAAAAGTCTGAAACAAACCACAGAACAAGTGACACACCTAGAGTATATTTAGATACTGTATTAGATTTCTCTCTTCCTTCAAGAGTTCTTGGGGAAGAACACAGACCAGGGTCAGGGCATCTACTCTGCCTCAGCTATGGCTGGCAATGACTCGCTGCCTGAAACCATCGAGTTGCTGCCAGTCGGAGCAGACAATCCTGAGCTAGATGGACCAGGGATCTGACAGGCACCATCCTATGTTCCTATCCTTATTCACTCTCACAACCATATTCTGAGAGAGAGCCATGAAGCTCATTTAGTGACCTTGGGTAAGTCGTTCAAGTAGGGATGTGTGTCAGGTTCATTTTGGTCCAGTTCCAGTAATTTATCCACACCACCACAATGGCCATGATTGTGCAGATGGCTGTACGAGAGAGGGATCTTGCGTGTACCCAGGACACATAGTGCTAGTCATATTTGACGTGAAGTTACAAGGGGTGGGTGGGAGGTGGAGACTCACCTGGGTGACTATCAGCTATCTAACTGATGTATTTTCTCTAACAGCTTGCAAGGGGGAATCATCAGTGTGCGACTACTGCTGTATGTTTTAATGAAACCAACAAGAATCCTATGAAGATGTGAATCTAACTATATCAAGCTCATGTGTGACACCACCTCCACCTGATGGGGAGAGGACAGTCACTACAGGTATGTTGGGCTCTGTGGAGCTGGGCATTGTAACACTGATATGCAGAGTCGAGGGGAAAGAGGCTTTGCACTGGCCACCAGGCAATGGCTTTTTCCACCTGCCTTGCCCCATCCTCCAGCCCTAGGAGCCTTTCCCAGACCATGAACAGCAGAAACAGCTGGCAAGTGAGAAGATGAGTCCAGGAATTCTCTTTTGAAATAATTTTGTAAGTTGTATGTCTTTTGTTTCTCAGTTTGATCCTTTTACATGTGGTATTTTATGCATTGTGACTTGCTGTTGTTTTTATTGATTATATTTAGTTATTATGTATTGTAAAGTGTGAATTTCTGTTTACAGTGGTGCCTCGCAAGACGAAATTAATTCGTTCCGCGAGTTTTGTCATCTTGCGATTCTTTTCGTCTTGCGAAGCACGGTGTCAGGAAAGTTTTGGAAAAGCTTCAAAAATCACCAAAGTCCTTAAAGACCTCAAAAAAGGCTACCACACCGCGTGCTATGAGTTGCTCCTCGAAGTCAAGTCACAACTGTATTAACGGTGTTAAGAAAAAGGAAACAAACTTGCAAGACGTTTCCATCTTGCGAAGCAAGCCCATAGGGAAAATCGTCTTGCGAAGCAGCACAAAAAACCCTTTCGTCTAACGAGTTTTTCGTCTTGCGAGGCATTCGTCTTGCGGGGCACCACTGTATTAGTTGCTGACATTTCATTTTACTGTGCACTATTATATTCCAAGGGATTATTAAATATTACTTTATTTTATATAAGTTGTTTATTTGAAAGTTATGTTTTTATTATCACTTGTGCACAGTAATATAGAAAGGCTGTATACAAATCAAAAGTGAAATTAATTGAAAATGAAACATCCAATGCATGGAGGTTAGGTGGGTTCAAGATGGGACAATTCAGAAGTGCAGACAGGCTCAAGTGATGTCTGCAAAAGTCCAAGGTATTCTAAGAGTACACAAAGGACGTTATTGGCACTCTTTTTAAACCAAATGATATGCCTTAGCAGCTTGGGTTTTTTATACCTAGGAGTTATTTTTCAATACAATTTGGGGTGGAAAGCACATATTCAACACCTACTTAATAAGGCCAAAACTCTGTCATATGCGCTCCTCCGATTTTTCTTTTCGGATGGAGCTTTGCATGTTCCCTCGGCCCTAAAGGTGTTCAAGGCAAAAGTGGTTCCCGTGCTTGCTTATGCTGCCCCGCTCTGGGTCGTGATGACAGACCTTGCTCCTCTTGAGACTTTGCAAAACCAATTCCTACGTCGGCTCCTAATGCTCCCCTGTGCGTAAGCAACGCAGCCATGCGTTTAGAATTGAGGATCGCATCCTTAGAAACCTGCCTGTGGAAGCAAGTCTTCAATTATTGGTTATCATTGTGGCATAGATTACCAGACCATTACCTTGCCCAATGCTTATGGCGAGATGAATCCCCAGCCTTTGGACCAGTAGAATTCATGCCAAACTCCTGAGCTATGGAATCTCTCCCTTAGATTCCCTAAAACTAGATCAAATCACTGCTCAAAGACTGATCCGCCAAAGACTGGATGACATCGATTTACAGCAAAATTATATGCTGGGGGGAGGTGTTTGTTCGCCCCAGAACATTGGTATCACTTTAACTTATTGCGTTCCATCATACCTCTCCTCCCTTTCGACTGTTGCCCATAGGCTGGCCTTCACCAAAGCGAGGTTTAATGTGTTTCCTCCAATGTCCTGAGACATAGATTCTCAAAGGGCCAAACCTCCGCCATGTGCGAATGTGATAAGGAGATGCCGGAGTCGCTTCAGCACATTATGTTCACTTGCCCCTTATTTAAGGTGCCACGGGCAAACTTGTTGGGACCAATCATACAGAAATTAGAGGGTACTCCACCAAAATTCCACCTTGCCCAAATCTTGCAGGATAAGGATGCCCATACGACCCTGAAAGTGGCTAGGTTCCTGGTCGCTGTCCTTACCCAAAAGCGTCGCCAAGGAGCACCACAAGCTAATTAAGGCGTAGTATGCCATTCCATCTTATAGTAGCTTATTGTTATAGTAGTGTTTTAGCGGCTGTTTTTTCCCATGTGCACAGGCTGTTATTTATGTCTTGTTTTTATCTGTATGGGCCTACGGCCGTAATAAATTATTATTATTATTATTATTATTATTATTTATTCCTCAGTCTGCCTTTGAAGCTGCCTCCATTAACTTACCTTCTAAGAGGTCTAAGTAAACTAAGAAAGCAGCATGCACACAACTGCTGTCAGCCACATCCAACGACATCATCCCTGTGAGCTGAAAGACACAATAGTAAGCAATAGATGTAAAAGCTACTGCAATGCAACAAAATTCAAGCAGTTTTATCCACAATATTTTGAAAGTGTTTTCCCATCAACTCTAGAGACGTTTGGAAGACCCCCCCAAAAAGCACAGCACACACAGTTTTTTTCAGGCCTGTTAATGGATTTACTGCTAGATAGTCTGTTAAAAGACTTGCAGGTCATGTTTTGAAAATGCCAATAAAACTGTCTTCCAAAAGGTGCAGTTTAGTGTTTTGGAAGGGGAGGGGCATGATTTAGCAACGCTGATTGTTCATAAAACAGGGCCAGTTCTGTCCCAAGCCTACTGTGCAGGGACTGCTTTAAATCTGTGTTTTGGCAAGCCCCTGAGACAGGAAGGGGGCAGGAAGCAGCTGTATCTGAAACTGAACTTGGAATATCCATTGCTAGAACTGCTATTTATAAATAACTGCCACAGCGATGTATTTACTTGCTGCATTTATATCTCATCTTTCTGCCAAGGAGCTTGAGGCAGCAAATGTGGTTCTTCCTCCCCTCTATGTTAACCTCACAATAACCCTGTGAGGTAGGTTAGGCTGAGAGATGGGGACAGTCACCTGGCATTCCTCATGTCTTACTAGGGATGTGAATCTGGATTTCCCAGGGTCTAGCAAAGCACTCTAACCACTATATCACACGGGTTCAGCTGGAGCCAGAAGGTACTTTTCTGTTGACTAGCCAGGGCCAGAAGGTGAGGCTCCTGGTACTTTTGCCAGGGCTGGCTAATACAGAGCAGGGGTGGGGTTCCTGTGGCACCTGCATATGATCTTGGACTTCAACTCCTTTGAGCCTCAGCCAGCAAAGTCAGGGCTGATGGGCGTTGTGGGGGCCACAGGCTCCTTGTCCCTGATGCAGCGCCTTCCTGCTGCCTGCCAGTTACAGAGGACAATGTTGCACAACCCTGTTTGTCAAATTAGGAACCGGCTTCCACACATGAGGTTCCCTGTTTAAGCGCTGGGTACCCGACACACACAGCTGATGCTGTGCAAATGTAAAATCGCAGCACTGCTAGGGACATGCTGCAAGCTTCACCTGCACCTGGCACAGTATAATCATATTATAATGCCTTGATCACTATAGAGAGCTTGATTCCTTCTTCATATCAAAAAAGCAAAATATCTGAGTTGTAAAGTTTGCATTTTATAAACTTGAACAAGCTAATACTTTCTTAAACCTCTGGTGGCTTGTGTTACACAACCATCAAAATAAGCTCTCTTTTAATATGCCAAACTCATAAGAGGGTTATTTCAGTAAAAATCACATCAGATCGTGGAGTTCTGCATTCTGATGCGGGGGGAGGAGATTGTTGACCCAGCTCAGGCAGAGAACTATTGCAGAGGGTCCTGTAAAACTTCTTACACTTGAATAGAAAGTTAAGTGTATTAAAAGTTATTGCTCTTACAAATATTTGAGCTGAACATGAAGCTTTCTGATTCTTTACAGACTCTTTGTGCTCCAATCCTGAATACTGTTTTCATACTTAAAGACTCACTGAAATCAGAAGGGTTTTATAAGAAGAGTTAAGAGCCTGAATCTAAGAAGGCATTTGCAAGATGAGATTCAGATTAGTTAAGAACATGATAAGATAAGATAAGATAAGATAGGACTTCGGGGTCAGACCGAAGTCCTATCTTATCCAACATCCTGTTTCCCAGCCAGACGCCTGTCAGAAGCCCAGAAGCAGGTGATGAGCACAGCAGCCCTTTCCTGCTGTTGTTCCCCAGTAACTGGTGGTACTCAATGGGGTACCTTCTCTGAGACTCTGAGGTTGTATACAGCTACTATAGAAATTTGTCTAATTCTCTTTTACAGCCACTCAATCTGGTGGCCATCTCTACATCTTGTGGTAGCAAATTCCATATTAAGTAAGCATGAACTATGTGAAGAAGTACTTCCTTTCATCTGTCCTAGATCTCCCACCTTCTTTGGACGGCTCTGGGTCGCAGTATGATAAAAACATTTCTCTATCCCCTTTCTTGACATCACGCACCTCTATCATGTCCCATCCTACTTATCTTCTTTCTAAACTAAAAAATGGTTTTAAATGACTCAGCCATAAACACAGTATATTCCTTTTAGCAGGACACTACTCCTCTTGGCTTGTCATCTGCAGTATGCAAATACTGTTGACCTTTCTTACAGGATCATTCTTAGATTCTTGAGTTCAGTATACCTGCTATTTCATCTCTAGTCCAGAGATGAACCTGCACCAGGGCATGACAGAATTTGAGGTCAGTCAGTCAAGGGTGCAAAGCTACTTGTCTAGTAAACTTGGCTGTTTGAGAGGCTTCTCTATAAAATTACAGAGCTGGGTCACATATACATGTTACTTCACTCTAGTTCAGGGTTTCCCAAACTTGGGTCTCCAGCTGTTTTTGAACTACAGCTCCCTTCATCCCTAGCTAGCAGGACCAGTCGTCAGGGATGATGGGAATTGTAGTCCAAAACAGCTGGAGATCCAAGCTTGGGAAACCCTGCTCTATTGCTTATTCATCCTGAACATTTTTTTGTTCATTTTATTTGTTGATTTTATCTTGCTGCTCCACATGTCCAAATTGCTCTTTATCCCTTCACGTAATACCTAAGAAGCTATTGCACACATATATTTTACTTTTACTCATTGATATGTGGCACACTTCCCTTTGGATTCTTTTCCTTATGTGTCACGTGCAACTAAACTGCAAGTCTGTACCATCTCCCTCTTAATTCATGTATGGCACCTGGCGATAGGCACTGCATAACTAAATAGAGACATGTACCTGTGACAAGTGCCTACATAATGCTGTGCCAACTTTATCGTTCCTTTGCTCTTCCTTGGACCAGGTGTATAGCCCTTAACACACAGCCATTCACCCATCAGTGGATGCGGTTTCACATGGCAAAGGATAGTATAGTAAGATCATAACCAGCAGAAAGCAGAGACACCCTCCCTCCAACTTCCATTAACAAGCTGTTCTATTATCAACTGCAAGTGGGGAAGGGAATGACTTTCGCTTTGTTCGCTGCAGGTTGAAAAACACTTAAAGCTAGCGCTGCCCTTTGCACATAGCCAGAGGTGCCACTGACAATACCCGCCTTTCCTTTTCTCTTGTGTCTATTTACACTGTAAGCCTGGAGGCAGGGTTCTGCTGTTTTTTATTCTAATTGCTTATTTAAAGGCATTTATACACCACTCCTCATAATATTTATTCCTCACTGGGGCAGGGTGGGTGAGGGAAATGTTTTTACATTACATTGTGCAGTGTGTAACATGCATTAAAAGCACAATTGATACACTACAGGGCACTAAGCCAATGGGGCACATAATAATAATAATACCACCCTTATTTATACAGGTACCTACGGCGAAGATGCATTAAAAGGCAGCTATTCCAGAAGGAATTATTGTGAAAAGAAGATTGCGGGGGGGGGGGGGGAGTCAAATTTTGTCCTCTCGGGGTGCTATATTACCAAGGCCCATTCCTGATTCCAGGATGGGGACAATGTTTTCATAACTTTCTTCTTGTTGTTTGTTTTTCTTGCGTATTTTATGGTTTTGTTAATCTTGCATTTTTCTGTTATGACCCACCCAGAGATCTACGGATGAAGGGCGGGATACAAGCTTAATCTTTTCGATAACTAATCAGGATAGTTCCTTAGAAGGCAGAAATACCTGCCTTACACGTCAGCGCCCCTGCAAGGCCAGCCCCGGACCCGCTTCTGACCGGCGGGCGGCGGGGACGGAAACGCGAGAGGGAAGGCGGCTCTTTCCCCGGCGCGCCCGGGTCCCCCTTCGGCGGAGGGCAGGGCGGAGCGAGCGCCGCGGGCCGTTCCCCGGCTATACCGACCGCAGGGTGATCCTCCCGCCGGCTCCCGCGGAGCGTCCTCGCCGCCGGGAAAGAGCTTGGGCCGCCCGACGCGCCGCTTTCCGCCTCGCCCGCCATGGCCTCTCGCGCGCCACGCGGCTTCGCTCCGCGCGGTGTCTCGGCGCTCAGGGTCCCCCGCGGAACACGCGGCCCGGCGCTAAGGTTCCCCCTCCGACGCGGCGGCTCCGTCGCCCGAAAGTTTCCGGCGAGGCGCCGAAGTCTCCAAGGCCGCCTGAAGAGATCCGAACTGAAACTGAGTTTCAAAGGAGGGGTTTTTGCGGGGGGGGGGGGAATCCTTTTATGAGGGAGGAGGAGGGTAGTCATTTAGGGGGAGAAAATTAAATGTTGCCAATTTTTTCAGCGAGTGGTCTTAAAAATATGTTTTGAGTGTGAAGAATCAAAATCTACTATTATTTTTGTGAGTGGACAACATTTAGCTTTGTAAATCTACATTTGATGAAGAAGCACATAAACTACTTTTGGAGAACCTTTTTTTTTTAATTTTACATTCTGAAAATGTAAATAATAATAAATAATGATAACAATGACAATATATAATATAACTGGAAGTACTTGGCAAATCATTTTTAATGATTTCTATGCATTTTTACCATACTTTAACTTAACAAGCAAAGCTAAATTATATTAATTTATCCAAAATTTCTTTTGAATTCTCAGGTCACATTACAGCTTTTTAGCAACCCACATTTGGGGAATTTGAAAGTTGAAAACTTTCCCCAGTGTGGTGTAGTGGTTAAGAGCGGTGGCCTCGTAATCTGGGGAACCGGGTTCGCGTCTCCGCTCCTCCACATGCAGCTGCCGGGTGACCTTGGGCCAGTCCCACTTCTCTGCAGTCTCTCAGCCCCACTCACCTCACAGAGTGTTTGTTGTGGGAGAGGAAGGGAAAGGAGAATGTGAGCCGCTTTGAGACTCCTTAAAGGGAGTGAAAGGCGGGATATCAAATCCAAACTCTTCTTCTTCTTCTTCCCCCCCCCCAGCAGGGAAGCAGAAGCAGCCCCCCCCCTCCCAGCATCATTTCTTAACTAATACTTATTTCTCCCTAAGGTTTCTGTAAAATGGTGAGCTGCCAGTTTAGGATTGCCAGCTAACCAGACAAGCAGCCCTTTGATCTGCCTAAGTCAGCCGGTGATATTTTTGATGGTGTGACCAGTGAGGCCATGCTTCTCACTGGGTTGGGCTGCGTCTTCCTTGCTAAGCACGCTCGCTCTGCAGAGATCCTTGCATGCGGCCTGCAGTTGTGGTCTACGCGTCAGGGCACGAATCCAATGGAAGGAAAAGGAAAATGGAACAAGATTATCTCCCAAGTTTGGCCCCTCCAAAACCAACACACAGGGAAGCATCGTGCAAGGAGAAAGCAGCAGCTCTTCCCAAACCGCGCTGGCAGGGCCAGCTCTGCCGCAAGACAAGAGAGGCAGTGGCCTCACGCGCTGATTGGGGGTTTCATGGAAAGGAGGCAAGCGGCTTGCTTTTTAGTTTATTGTTGTAGTTTTACTCCCAGGGAGAGGTGCTTGTGGGCTAGTCTGGCTCAGATGCCAAAGCAAGTTGGGCATTCTTTTGAACTATTCCCTTTGAGTGGGGCGGGGGTGCTCAAGGTACTTGAGCAAAATGTCTAAGTCATGAGTGGCCTTTTGAACTAACTCAAAACATTCTGAAGGCATACTTTGAAATACAGTTTGGTAGACAAGCTTCTCAGCAATAGCACAGTTTCTGCTAGTATTTTTTTGGAGTGATAAGTCTAATACCAATGTGAGAAGCCAGTGTATTTGATTTTTACAAACATAAAACAGCAGCACTTAAAACATCTGTAGCTTCACCAGTCCCCCATCCCAAATCTGTGCTATGCCTAAAAAAAAATAACTGACAGATTATATGCTTAACTCTTTAACAGATTATATACACTTAATATACTTAACCGTTAGGTTGAGACCTAGTGGGCTGCAGCCTGATCTAAGGTGGCTCACAACAGAAGCAATACCACCATGCAAATATATGGTAAAATATTCAGAAACGGGTCTCCAAATGCATGCTTGGGTTAAAAGTGTGTTGTGGGTCTGAAATGGTTGAAGATACCTGCTCTAACATCAATGCCTCATTGCTGTATGTTCTGCCTTTTGAGTATACATTTCACATACATTTTCTCAGCAGCTTGTTTAAATGGGTCATTATAATTCTTGTGCCCATGTTGCAAAGTGTCTTCCTTAATTCTGTCTGCTGAATTTCATGGCACAGGAAAGTTCTGAGCCAGAAGATTCCTAGTTGATTAGACACTAGTAACTCTGGATACTGACAGCTTTACTGCTATAGATAAATAGGTCTTCTCCCTCTGAGGATGAAGAGGATGATGCAAAGCTGCCTATGAACAATTTATGAACTGCTCTGAATTAAACTTGAGAAAGAGCATAATAAACAAATAAATAACATCTGTCAAGCCCTGTCATTGCAGCAAACTTTACTACTTCCACAAAAGTGAAGATTGTTTAGTTCACTCAGTTTTGTGTTTCATGAAAGAAATTCTAGAAGTGTGATCTTATTAAGTGCCTCCTAAAAATAATCCCACAAATTGGCAACTCTGAAAAGGCTCCTTTTTGGCTTCTGAGGGACATTTATTGAAAGCATAGTGAGAAGAATGCTACTGTTTCTTGAAGGAACTGTCCCATACATCTGCTTCCTGTTGCAAGGACTGCCAAATATTTTAGTGGTTCCACAGAAATCTGAATCTTAGTCTGCAATCCTATACAGGCTTAACTGGGAGCCTCCTGGAACTCAGTGGGTGGTGGTGGGGAGATGCTTCCTTCTTAATCAAAATTCTCTGGTCATTTGCTTGAGTTATCCAGCTGCACTTACGTTGCAGTCCTAATTACATTTGTTTCGGTGAATGCATTGGGTATGCATGCATAGGATTGGGCTATAAACTCTAGATTGGTGCTTTCCAAACTGTGTGTTGCGACACATTAGTGTGTTGGCCGCAGTGTGTAGGTGTGTTGCACGAACACTCCCCGCACTCCTCACAGGGCTAGAAAGGGATTAGTTTAACCTCTGGTTTGCTAGTGAAACTGAATTACTGTGTTGCGAAATGATGCATGTCTAAAAAGTGTGTCACCAACATGAAAAGTTTGGAAAACTCTGCTCTAGATTATGATTGCTTTCTAGTAGACTGGGTAGGTGGCTTAGCTAGACAAGTACTGTAGGCCATGCTATGCATGCTTCCTGGAAGCAGTGATTCCCACCAACCAAACACAAAATCTCTACAAACAAATTAAGAGTGAATGCTCATTAAACAGCCAACCACTGTCTAGTTTCCCTACGAATGTATCAGGATGTATGTTCAATAAACAGGTTGTTGGGAAGCATCCGTAATCACATCCTTACAGAACCATGTGTTCATTGGGGCTTGCAATGTGCATGGGGTTGCAACCTCAATGCCAGGAAAGTATATTATAATCCTTAGCCATAAATGTGCAGATAGAGCAACTGAAGTCAATACAAAGCAGGAAAACCTCAGTGCCAGTCCAATCTGTTATTTCATTTATTAAGGCAGAGGCTTCATAGAAGGTTGGCTCCGTGTAGGGGTATGCATATGCAGGATTCAGCCACCATGGCCTTTCTAGGCATTCTACCTAATGAGGCCGTTGAGTCCGCAGTGTCTCAGTCACTCTTGCAGTCCTAGACCCCTATACCTGTGGGAGTAAATTCTGTGGAAGTCAGTGAGACTTCCATGCAAGTGCACGTGCATAAAGAGGATTGTGCTAGAAGGGGCAGAATTCTGGATCACAACTTCTGACCCGTGTGTCATTTTAAAAATTATTTCCCCAGGTAAAAAGCTCCCTACATGTAGTACACTAGCTCATGAGTGAAAGGACGGTGTGGGGACCTCTTTTCTCCGACATGCATGGAGCTCTTAGTCGTGAGAGTCTAAAAAGAACACAGCCACTGAGCCACCGGTCGCGTGAAATTCCACCACCACATTGGGCTCCCGTGTCCACTAGCATCAATTCGAAGTGTGCCCGGTGCAATCCGAGCCCAATAGGGATCAGAAGAAAAAGATCATCTGAAAGGTTTGTACGGACCTATCCCTTCTTAGCGTTACTTATGATTAGTTTTGCAAAAAGCTCTCTGTCGTTTAGGAGGTCGGCAGAGGAGGGAATATGGACAGAGAGGAGCACGCGTGTTTTGTTTTTGCTTGCTCCACGAGCGGAGGGCTTTGCCCCCGCCAAGCCGCCTTTCGCCGAGAAGGCACAGCCCCCTCCTCCTCCTCCTCTGAGCAAATAAAAGGGCGAAGCGGGGGCGCGCGGCGGCGGCGGCAGCAGCGGCAGCCCGCTCTCCTCTCCCTCCCTCCCAGCCTGCTCTCCAGGTAGGCGCCTCCCGGCCGCCGCTGTCAGCAGAGGCTCCTCGCGCTGCCCGAAAGATGGCTGCGACCCTCGAGCTCCCTCGCCGCCCGGCCCGGATCCTGCTGCTGCTGCTGCTGCCGCCCCTCTCCTGGGTCTTGGGGCTCCCCGGGGGCAGCTGCTCAGCCCCGGAGCAGCTCGGTCCCGATCCCCTGCCGGAATCCGCCTTGCAGAAGCCCACCGTCTTCCTCGCCCTCCTCGCCAGGAACGCTGCCCACTCCCTGCCCCACTTCCTCGGCTGCGTGGAGAGGCTGCGGTACCCCAAGAACAGGATCGCCCTCTGGTAAGTTGGAGAGACGGGCGGGGGGGGGGAGACCTCAGTGACCTCATCCCGACGGAGGCTGGGCGAGAGAAAAGTTTCCAGGTAGCTGCATCAAGGGGATGGATGGAGGAAAACGTGTGAGTTGGTGGGAGTTTGCAGGCAAGGTTGCCAACTGATCAAGGGGCTAGAGTTCTACCAGGTCTGCTCCTGTGCCGTTAGCTGAAGCTGGGTCTTCAGAAATCCACAGATGAAAATTTTCACCCTGTGATGGAAGCAATATTTTTGTCACCTTTGATGTTGCCTGCATAGGATGTTGCTGTTAAAGATCCGGAGGCGGGGGTGAGTAAAAGACTGGAAGCACCTGGTGGGATGAATGGAAGGTTGAAGGAGGTGAGATGGGAGAGGCACAACCAAGCAGGGTGGAAAATCTAAAGTTGCAATTTGTAATCCTATGTATTTGAGAGCTAACCCCCTGAACTCACCGGGAC